TGTATTACTTAGTTTAATAAATCTTAGTTATTTATTTGTAGTACTATTATAACATATTCAACACTTATGTCCTTATGACTTTTTGTGTTCTAGATATTTTTGCGCTAAAAATCGATAAAGGCTGATCTAAACTATCAATTTGGTTAAATAAATAATTTTTTTTATGTAATACGACCAAATTCTCGACATGCTTTAATCTCGTAACGAACACAGAACCTGGTAGAGGATCCAAAATGTCTGTATAAAACAAATAAACACAATAATAATAATATTGTGTTAGCTATTGTTAATCATGTTACCTTACTATTACAAATATACCTGTGATGTTCCTACACTCCACACTAGACCTGCGTGGTCAGTTATAGTTCGGTCCCCCTATTCGATTTTTTCCTTCCCATAGATAAAGCCTGTGGCCCACATTGGAGAAATTAATACGCTTTATTGATATAAAACTAGTACTTTAGACTTGACCATGTTATTTTATCGTCATATCATACATTTTGTTAAATGTAAAAATATAGCTACTAAATTTAAACTATATTATCATTAAAGAAGATTTTATACAATGCAGTTACCACGCCTTCAAGCTCGCAACATAAATTATTACTGAGCATGTAATGAACGCTTGCTCATTTCGGATCGTTTTAGCAGTATTTCCTGCCAATTAGGGCCATGAAAACCGACATGGACCAAACAAAGGCAAGGGAGGCTCAGGAATTTATTGTTAGGTTACTGGCTTAAGTTATTTAAGTGTACGCGGGACGGCGTTATTCACGTGAGCAGAATGCAGCTTCCTGCGACAATTTATCATGAATCTTTAATTAAACTTTAGCGGTGACTGTTGCGGTACGGTTAGAGACGAGTATTAATTTTGTTTTATCAAATAATTATATTACTTATAGAATTATTTATAGGATAGGTGATCAAAAATATTATTTCTAGCACCTCAGTTCTCCGTCACGGCTGCATCTGTTGTCGTTAACGGGTAATGGGTTCACATGGTGAGTCATGCCTAAATAAATATAGTTGCATAACGTCGACGTCAGTGCAGAACCTTGTAACTGCAAATTTGAGTGAAAATGTGAAAAGAATAATTTTAAATCGTTCATTCGTGTTTTAGACAGTTTTTATTATCTCCTCCTGCGTTAACACCGACGGTAAGTGTTTGTATGTTCCTAGATCTCGCTGCAAATTGGCATGCTAGGACCATGTCTATCGTGTACCTAGGCATCACTGCGGAACAGAAACTATAAAGATTTTCAGAAAAAAAAATAACTTTGTATGTAGTATAGCTATATAGCATAGCTGCAGAGCGAATTCGTAAACAAGTACGTATGTTTTGTAGTACTACAATTAAAGTGAGTGTCAGTATGATATAGGTATGGGATATCTTAGATGCGAATCAATCAATTAATCTTCTTTTGTATTTTTATACAAAAAAACGGAACCAAAAGAATAGTTTACACTGATACATCTCAATTTAATAGTTTAATCTAGTTAATTATTTAATCTTGAAAAAACATTAAATAAAATAAGTGTTGGGGTATTTTGTAGCCAACAAAACAGTGGCAGGGTTCATTAACGTCAAAATGTCACTTCTCTAAGTTCAATTCATTGCGCATTCGACAATGAGGCGCCAGCGGCGTTTTCGAGTTATACAAAAAACGTAATTTGAATCTCACCGCGAATTCAGCTTTCCGATGTGTGTTTACAGAATTGCACGATTGAACTGTGGTTCTGTTGGACTGCAACTGAAATTTTTTCTAGTTAGTTTTTTCACTTCGATTATGTAACACGGTGGGCTTTCTTAAAGCTATTAGAATGACAGTTATCTACTTGATTACTACCATGATCTTATATCTATCGGGTCCTCGATACTTACAGCTAAATTATTTTCCGTGTAACTTTGTAGAAATAAAATAATAACATATATACGTATGATATTTATGTACTTACAACATTTTCTATACATTATATTTACATTAACAGCAATTAATATTTTCTATAAATCCATATACATTCATTTTCTTAACACGTGTAACATTAAGTTTCTATAAATACACACCCTAGACAACTATACATTCATAAATACCTAATTGTTAATAATAATTATTATAGCAGACAATTAAAACTATACTGATCCCTAAATGATTTAAAAATTTCAACTGGTAATTTCACTTCATTTACAGACCTAAATAATACTTTGTTTTACTAGTGCCATAGCCGGTGCGCACAACTGGCGTTCTAATTCATTTCCTACATTAATATAATCCAATATAAACTTGCCGGATTTTATTAAAATTACCTTCAATTTAGGTACTTTTATAGACAGTCGTGAGAATTTTTACACTCCATTTTCATGTGAACGCGTTTCGCTCTTATCATTTTCATAAAAATATTGTATTATAATATCTGTGATAAAAGTAATTAAAGTGAAAACACTTCAATATACATACGAGTAATATAAAAGACATTGAAAACTGTAGACGATTATAATATATTTCTTAGACTTTTAATAGTAATCATGCCTTCGATGCATACAACCATGAGACTCATATAAATTTTATTCGAATAGATACATACTCGTACCTATTAGTATAATCCTTTAAAATGTGAAGATAAAAAGTTTATATTAATTTAATGCTTTTGGGCTAACAAGCATAAAATAGTGTGCCTCATTTAGGAACTACCACAGATATTATAATAATATACAAAGCTGCACAAATTTCAATTCTCATATTATATTTGAGTCATAGGATACTTTAAACAACAGTATGTTTTGTAATAATTCACAGTCATTTAATTATTAAAAAACTCTATCTAGATATGCTACATAACTCGATTCGCATTAACATTCATTTTAAACACAAAAAATGTATTAGCATGAGCATACAAATAATTGATCTACCTTTATTTAAATGAATCTCCAAACACAATCTATGAGGTCGTGACAAAAATGTGCAAGAGCTTTGTAAAGCTTAAAGCGTATTTCAATCCCTTTTTTGGAGATATAAGGGTATACAATTATACATCATCTAGTACCCAGGTCTTCCCTCACTCGAGAACAGTGTAATCCCTACACCCTAAAATTTCCTACGTCTCGCTGCAGGATCTTCTGTTGAATCTTATCTTTTTAGCAGTTTTGCAGGTTTGACCTTTTTTCAAGACATTCTTACAATTTATGTACCTTTTACCCGGCAAGCAACAAGGGGTGAGTAGGACTCTACTTCGTGAACCCAACCATCCGAGTCACGAGGACACTCGGTCCATCGAGGCTCGGGTCCATCGAGAGCCACTTCCAGATTGGTGAGGCCCTACAATGCAGAGGTGGCTGCCAACCACCACCGCAAGCCTCGAAGACGCAAACCTAACATGATAAGAATTAACTATCGAAAACCTTATACGTGCGTTCACTGTAAACTACTCGATCCTTAATTGCAGCAGCGCACCGCTCTTTTCGTATACTACATGTCCATTATAAGCTTCAGGTTCATCTATATATAATTAACCCCTTTTTACATGATATTTAATATGATTGGTCATATACATATAATTGAAATCAACTTACATTGCAGTATCCAAAATATTGAAAATTTATTATTTTTATTTATATTCATATAAATTATAATTTTACAGACAATATCAATACGTATCTCGGTAGCGCCACGGATAAGTGCCGCTACCCGCAATTGTTATTGTTAAGCAATTGTCGCATGGGTTGTTCACGGGATGGGTGACCAAAAATTATGCCCCACTGCATGGGGATGTAATGCTAACGATAATATACAATATATCAGAGACTTAAATTTAATAAAGCATCATAGTAATTTTGGCGAACATATTACTTCAAATTGATAAAACTTTTTTATTTATGAACCGATTGAAATAAAACTTACACTAAATATTAACGGAAGGTTACCACAATACAGCTGTTTTGTGTTCGGTTACGTTTATAAATGCCTCTCATAACAGTTTTTTCATATATGTTCAATGTACAGACATCGATCGGTTACGTGTTTATTATATAAATTGCTCAAATTGCTGTTTGAGCGGATATAAGTTGGAGTGCATGATGAGCTTTAACAATTTTGTAATGGTCAAAAGTTAATTACTATTTTTTTAGTTAGTTCATAAAAATACTGAGTCTTCCATTTAATGGAACAAATACATTCACCAATCCCCAGAAATTTGTTTCAGCGCTTTAACCTCCGCACTGGGTCATATACATAACTTGAGTACTTTAAGATACTCAAATATGACACATTGGTCGCTCTTTCACATTTTGTCACGAGCTCTCCTTCGATCATCATTAACAAACAATCCACAAATCGTCCAACCTAAATAACACCGAATCGAACAATTGCTTACTCAGACACAATAATCTCTATCATTGTTAAATCCTAAATTAAAATATATCGTTTTAATTTATAGTGTAAAAATTGGTTAGACCGAATACCCACTTCAATAGACATAAATAAACAGTTATTCAATACAGAGTTTTAGAATCAATAAATGTGATAACACATTAAAAAATTATGCTATAATTTTACAAGATATCGTACGTAAATTATAACAAAAAAAAATTAAGCTAATATTGACGTTAGACTTTCAACACTCAGAATGAATGAAGCATGAGAATCCAATTAATGAATTTCGTTTATCATGAAACCTTGAAATTGTCATAATTTATAATTTTACCGCCACAATCTAAACAAGTTTTAAAAAAGGCACTGCTGTTATTAGAGTTAGGTCGTAATTTGATAAGATTTATCGTTGTAGTTTCATAATAATAATCTACTTGTGATGAAAAGGTTATACTTGTATTAAACACGACACTTAAAAAATTAAGTAATTCCTTTTATTCAATAAATATAACCGCTTCTATAAAAAATTCGTTCCATAGCGCTTTGTTCTGTTCCTTGCGTAATTATACAGAAACTTCACCTCATCATAGTTATATTTATTCTGCCTAATTAATCAAATCAAAAAGTGTAACAATATCATCGACAAATTAGACTCTCTTCTCTGGCGGCGCATGCGCCATGTGGCGGTGCAAGAAACAGCTTACCGTTCGCACACGCGCATAGCTGGTAAATATTCTGATGATGAGGGTCATGGGCATGGGGAGCCGAAGCTGGCAAAGGCAATGCTGACTTAAGTTTCGGCATGTATATACTAGGAGCGTCCAGACGTATCTGAATAAAAAACAAAAGATACTAAATTTTATTGTACAAATTAGTAAACTAAATCTAAAGTCAAATACTACTGTTTTGCAAATCGAGAAGGCGAATTGATATATTACAAACAGTTGAACAGTTCAATGTTACTAAATATATATCTTCAAATATACCCACGACGGAACTGAGCAAGATTATGCATTTAGAGTGAGATTGTTTGTTATTACGTAAGGCTCTTCCTGTTTATCTCTAAAATCGTTTGACTAATTTAGATGCGGTTAATATATCACAAGGATTAATATACCCACATTGCATTAGATTGACAAACTTTGAGCATGTGATTTGACTATTCTGCAGCATAAGTTTAAATCAAAATAAATCGCAATGCAAGTACTAATTTACTATAATAATAAATTACTTACAGAACCGGCTATTGATTTGAGCCGGAATGTAGTCAGGCAGCTCGCGCTGATATCGCCAGCCCGTGATTCTATTGCTATACTCTGCGCGGCGTGCATTTCTAATGAACGCGTTGGTGATTCTAGCCTGTGAAGAATCTCATGTAAGTCACTTGTGTAATTAAGCATAAAAGACTAAATAACATAGATTTTGCATTTGAACTGACAATTAACACATACAGGATCATATGAAATAAAGAAATAATATTTTGAACACCAAAAAATAACACTAAATGCGAACCTAAAAGACGCCAATTTTTTTTTCTGATTACCACTCGCACTCATTACAGGCTACATTCGATATTAGACTATAAGAATAAAAGACTTTAAAGCTTTTCTATCAATCTATATTTTTTGTTTTATACGTAATACGTTATTGATTGATTTTTATTTGTCTTGATGGGTTGCGTCGTACCTATTTTTTCAAGACGAATCTATGCGTCAATGAAGTTCATTTTTATTTTTAAATCTAGACTTCTTAACACCTTGGTGCCGGCAGTATCTCTAACAGTTGACCTTCACAAAATCGATTCCCTGTTCTCCCTGTGTGCAGTGAACATAGAGAAGGCAGGTGTATCAGTAGTTGGGACATAATGGCTGGTGATGAGTAGCTCGATGGCGTAGTGGATAAGCTCCGCGGCACGCGTTGGTTGTTGTTAAGCAACTTTCGCAAGAGTTGGTCACGAGATGGCCAAAAAAAATATTATCTCGAGTTACTCCGTACTTCGGAAGGCACATTAAGCCGTTGGTCCCAGCTTAATTTACGGTCTTTAATGCTCTGTAAGCCGCATTGGGAGCGTGGAGAGTCATGGTCCATCCTCCTTAAACATCCATAAGGAAGGCCTGACGGGACGTAACAGGGCTGATGATAATGATGATGCGAAATATCGTCACAAGTATACTGACACTAATTGTTTAGCTGGTGGTGCTCGCACCAGCGGTGTTTGTACAGCTGTATGCAAGTTAACGCCAGCGGGACTTGTGACTGTGAGAGTATCAGCGCCTACTGTCACAGTGTCTTGACCAGCGCCCAGCAACAGCGCCCCACGGGAGTCACGCACTTCTAATCGGGCTACGTTTACTTCTAGGCGGTCGTGACCTACGTAAGAAAGTTTGTGGTAATTCATACAAAAAAAAAAAACAAGTATTGCTTGTATCGTTTATTGTTATTAAAAAACCAGCCTAGAGCGAGTCGAATTCTATCGCAGTTTAGGATTCTAATAAGTTTCCTGTAATCTATAGGAGATCAAGGAGGAAATAATTAGAATTCCCTATTTTCTTAAATATCTTTAAGACATATATATTTATAGAAAATATAAAAAGAAAACAACGTTTAATTCCTTAAATAGGCCCTTTCGTTCATATATAGTTTAGGAAACTTTCTTACATGTATGTAACTTTCAACGCAATTGTTGCAGTAGTTTCTCATAGGACCGACAGGCAGACAACTGAATGATCCCTAGGTTCTGTTTATGAGGTGAGAATGTAACCGCTATTCTCATAGTCCATGGAAACCGACGATACCGACTCTTAAGAGCATTCATTTAACCCATAATTTCAATAAAAATATTGAGGAAATTTTTTCGTATTCTCCTTATAATACACAAATATTACAACGCATTTATATTCTTACAAAGATTTCTTATTATTTTAATTCAATATTTTTTTTTAATACTTCTAATATTCAGGATTAAAGAGATAAATATAACTTACCCAAAAACAACCTGCTTTGCAATAATCCGTGTGGATCTCTCGTGGAGACGCTAAAATTTCTCGAAGATTCTATGGTAATAGGCTGTCCTCGACGAGATTTGATGCTAGAAGCGAACAGCGAGTCTAGCACTAAAGCTTGACCTAGAAGTTGCAAGCCACCCGGTACTATACGGAGTTGGCCCATCCCTTCCTGGTTCGATATAAAATTACTTATTATACATTTAACAGTCGCAACCATTCATAAAAAAATGTTTTTTTTAAGTCGGTTAAAAAATATAAGTTCCATTAGAGACATTTGATATATGTGCGTTGTTATAGAGTTCCCTAGAAATCTAAATTATTTTATACTAGCTTTCCGCCAGCGTTGTCCTTTATTATGCATTTTTTTTCTTAAATCACTCTGTATATAATAATTTATTTCTGTATACTGATAAAAACCGTATTAAAATCTATTGTGTAATATTCTTAATGAAAAATACAAAAAAAATACCCAATGTGTATGGGTTTTTTTTTAAACATTCTTCATTAAGAATGTTCTCCAATTTATCATTGTGAAAGCAAAATTGATCAAATATCTATAAAGTAGATTAAAAGATCTCAGCGTATAGGCAGTAAAGTGACTCTGTTTTATACTATGTATAGATTACCGCCGCCGCTACTGCAGAAAGCCTCAAACGGCGAAAATGTATAAGTAATACCTACATATTTGAGCCGTTTGGGGTCGAAACGATGAGTCCGTGGGGCCCTGGAGCGCATCGTCTTTATCAAGAGTAAAAAAAAGCTTTTTGACAGGTCAGGTGATCAGAAAGCTGGTTTGTACCTCGCCCAAAGAACCAGTTTGGCTATTCAAAGAGGAAACACTCGCAGCCTTCTGGTTACCTTACCTGTTGGCAATGATCTGGGAGACATTTTTTATTTAGTATAGTATTAAGACATAGTTTAGATAAGTAGCTTATAAACAGTAAAATCAAAATAACAGCTTATCGACCACCAGTTCCAAGAAATTTTAATGAGTAATTCACATGAATATATTTTACACGAGAAATTATCATTAATCCTGTAAATGTTTCGATAACAAGGTGAAATTATTTACTCATTAAAATGTTCTACACTCAAGTTCAGGCAGTATTCACAACAATTTTAATACCCTACCAAATACACATCTATTAAAATAAAACAAACAAATTCGTCGTGTAAAAGTAATCTGAGCAGCCATTAAACTGCAACAACATTTACAAAAATAACTCACCGAATTGAAATCCAAGACTTTCAATACCCACAGCGTGAGCGCCAGATTAATAATCATCATAAACATGAGCGCCATGACAAGAATATAAAGGCATTTCTTTCGCCAACCGTAGATGCCAACTTTGAATTGACTATTATAACTGTTTCTGATCGAGTCCGCCTTTGTGTCCCGGTCTGCATTGTTGTTCAGGATTGGCTCCGGGGTGATCTTGTCCGCGTATGGTATCCTGAAAGAAATATATTTGTTTGAAACAATGCCAATAGGCTCTATGAACTTTTTATCAACTGTTCTAGTTTAAAAACAACTTTCATTTGATTTTTGATAGTGAGTTCTTATATTTTCACGAGCAGTTTAATACCTTAAATGGTTTCAATGCATTTATATTTATTTTCATGACATTTTGGACTCTGTACAGGTTCCGAGACGAAGGTGTCGATTGTCTTTTTTTTTAATTAAGAGTTTAGCTACCCTGGAAACAATATTATTAGACACATTCACGATACAAAAATTTTATATGTTATGGAAACGTTTACATTTATTAAATTATATATATTTTTTAATACATATGATTTATTTAAATTATTATTTATTTATTTACGCCTGGCTACCGTAAACAACAACCAGTTCTAAATTTGGGTGTCCTAATTGTGAAGAACTGGCGAAATAAACTCCGACAAGAAAAGTGACTGCTCCCTTTGAATTAATATTTACAGAAGGAACTAACTGTATCTTTTTGTTTTGCAGTGTATCATCTGGTTTCTAGTTTTATTTGTCTAATTACTGGATCGTCTGCAATTTTTTTTTGTTTGCAAAAGCCGTGCTTATCCTTCAGATAATATTTTGTTTATTGCAAAATCTATGTTAAATATAACATTTGAGTTACTTTGTGGTTAATTTTATGAAGATTCTTTTAGAAATATGTGAGATGATAAATAATTTTGTGAGGGAAGTTTCATAGCAGCGTGCAGTGACCACTGCCGTTTACAGTATAACCTTAAGTTTGAGTAATAACTTTATTTCCAACTCAATACAGCTAGTATTTGCATTACACAACGCAACAGACATGCAATAAATTCTGAGACATTCCATATACGCTTTAAATTTCACATGTCATTTGCGTGATTGAAAATTATTGTAAATCATAAATAATTATTCTTTAAGCAAACTGATCAAATTGTTGTTTTACTAAATAACCACGAATTCAAATACGTGGATAGAAATAAAACCAAACCACTATTAAATTAAATATTGTTATCACCGCAAATAATAATAAAAAAAAATTTAGACTTAAAGTATAATTTTGCGGCATCAGAGTAAGATTGTTTCCAACACATTTCACTTGCATAAATCACAAGTTTATTTCCTTCTCGGGGCCGGTCGCCACCGCCTCATCCAGATGGTTCACGAGAATCTTATTCTCAAAACTGAAAAATCAAGCTACATTTAACCTTCTCTTATCGCTCAGCTACATTGGCCGATATAGTCCGATTGCTTGGCCTTTAAATCAATATCTGATCAAAGATAATCAACCAATGTAAATAAGCCACTGAGTTCTTAGTAAACACATGGACTTAGTTTAGCACATGTGTTAGAGAAAGTTTTCAAATGAAAGATCTACTTACAATTTATCGTGCACTATTATGATGAAACACATCACTGATAATGTTAGTTGGATTAAATAAATATCTTGGTCTCGATAATCTGAACAGTGATTAAACATTCTTAATAATATTTAAAATCCACATTGCCCCCGGCATTTTTTCATTAAGAATATTTCTCAGTATAGCATTGTGAACGCAAAATTGGTCAAATAGTAAAAAACAAATTTTTATCTTTATAGAAAGTTTAAATATTAAAAAAAAAAAAACAATCTTTCGGCTATTTGGGTGAATTGCCTGATCGTTGATGAAAATACGCTCTGTGGTAGCGAAATAGTAACAAGTTCTTGAAAAAATCGTCGTTAGGTCCTGGGTAGCACAATGGTTAGAGCAGCCACTCCGATTGTGAAAGGTCATGGGTTCGAGTATCATCTCAGAGTGCCAGGGACAAAGTGATTTTTTTTAACAATTTACATTCAGATTTTTTTTAGTATAGCATTGCTAAAACAAAATTGATCAAATATAATCAGTGATTAAACAATTTAAATAACATTTAATTACATATTCATTAAATTCATTGGCATCTTTAGAACAAATCATTTTTTTTTCCTTCCTTTTGTCCAACCCACCAAGTTTACTGCAATCGCGCCGACCACGCTAGAGAATCTCGGGAGCGTGCTCTAAAAACTTAGAGCAATACTTTATCATATTGCATTTTTACACAAGAGCGGATTCACAAACATTACGGACAAAAGAGACAGATTCTAATTTACATTTTTAAAGAAATTTTAAAGAAACTGGTAAGTAAATTAGTGGTGGCCTAAGAATGACAATTGTTTTAAAAAAAAAGTGGTAAAAGTAGTAAAATAATATCTTAAAAAATCCACTTTGTCCCTGGTTCTCTGAAACGGGTATATCTTTCATTTAAGCGTTCCGTAGTAAACAAGGAACCGTCCGTCTGTCCGTCCGTTTGCGGTTTAGCTGTACAACTATTTGCACTAGAAAGTTATAACTTGAGTATACATAATAATTATGCTGACAAAGTGGTAAAGAAACTTTAGGAAAAAAATTTTAGGATACCACCCCTACTTGTAAAGGGGGAATGACATTTTTTTTTATCTTCCCCATACTGTGGATCCTGGAATAAGTCTTTTAAAAACATTGGGGTTTGGGAAGGCCATTTTTCGATTTAGTAAACCATTTCTGACTTATTAAGCTAAAAAGAGCTAATTTTCGTTAGAGTTAAGTATCCCCCCTTCTAACAACTAAATGGTCGTCGGTAAAAATTCAAATATTACCTTTATATAATGAAGTTTATATAGCAATACGAGCAATAGTTGACTAATTGTATTTAACTCGAAAGTTCTAACAACTCCAATAAAAAATAACAAAGGTGATTTTTTTATGGATAAGGCTACGGAACCCGTCGTGCGCGTCAGACTCAAACTTGGCCAGTTTTTTATTTAAAACAAATATCAAAAGACGTTTTCAAACTTAAAATAGTTACTTTTGCACGGTCACCTTTGCTGAATTTCAATTTCAAACAAGGAACTATTTTTTTTAAATTTTTTGGCAACAAAAGGTCATTTCAGTTAATAATACTTAAATTATAAAAATACTATGGTAGAAAACCTACAGTGCATATAATATTAAACCATAAACACAAAAACATAACCACACATACCGGCGTGGTCTTCTACACAGACCGCAACTCGATTAAGGGGGCGCCTACTCGAAAATTTTTAACCAGTATTGTCTAATAAGCTTTAATTTACGAATGAGCAAACTTCATTATATCATATTTAAAGGTTACAGTGAACACGAAAAATTACAATGTTAATTTTGCAATAATAATAATTTCCTAGTAATTAATTGAAATGAAACAGTTTTAACAATTACTATTCTCTGACCCTTTCTACCTCATAGCCGGGCACAATAAGATAGAAGGAACTGGAACTGGAATGTATTCTACTTGATTTTAGTACTTAAGCTCTCAAAAACAATGTGCGTTATTAGGAAGCATTTATCTTCAGGGGGTCCGGATTGTCTAATAGCGCATCCGGTCTTCCTTCGGAGGGATGACAACCCTCACGGGCATTGCACCACCCCCGGTTGTCTAAAGAGGGTTCCTTGTAACCACCTGGGAAACCTCCCGCCCGCAAAGAGGGTGTATACCACCGTGTGTTCCCCACGGTCCGGATCTACCTGGGACTTATTTTAAGATACCAGGTACCGGACTGTGCGCGAGGGTGGTACGGGGGGTTTTGCATGGTAGGCCTGCTGTGATAGAGGGTTCTTTAACCCTCCGCAGCAGGAGAGCCCGGGTTCAGTCGGCCTTTCGTCAAGGTCGACGGCATGTTAAGGTCAGTTCCCCGGTATAAAAAATAAATAAAAAAATATCATAGATATTATGATATTTGATCAATTTTGCATTCACAATGCTATACTGGAAAATCTACCTATGAAAAATGCTTCAAAAATCCACTTTGTCCCTGGTACACTGGATATGGGATAGGATGAGATTTTATGTGCATTATTATACAGAATACTAACTATTGTCTCATTAAGAATAATTTAGATTGCTGTCTGTAAACCCATTTCAGAATAAATAAATATTGTACGAGTACCTGCCCATTAAATTGCATGTTTTTATGTCGACGAATATATGATAGGCTCTTTTTAACTTGCAAATTTTACTGCTTAGGTAAACAGTTTTTACGACTATAAAATGATTATATAACATTTATATATTTTATGTAAGCTCGTATTTGGTGATCGTTAAATCTTAATAGGTTTTACTGTATTACTGTACTGAAAGCATGTATGAATTAACGTTTCACCGTTTTATTGTATGGAAAATATTTAATTTTCTATCATTGAAAGTCAACTTTTGTAATTCCTTGAATACTAAGTTTAGTAAAGTATTGATATCTAAACTACTCGCAAACCATGCATTGGCATGGTTAACAACTTTTTCAACTTCTTCACTGAAGCAAGATGAAACCAAAAACGGCGATATAGGTTCGTCACCGAACAACACTTTTGCGTATTAATTCTAAGGTGATACAAAATCCGCGGGTGTTATACTTATTTTATAAAATTTAAACCAAGATATAAGGAATCGTTTTAGTAGAGTCTGTTTTTAAAGAAATATACTTACGTGAGTCACTGTAACTCTATATTCGTAAAACTGGTCACCGTCAGTGTGGGCTATAAATTTAGAAGGATCCGCGCCCGACACGACATTGCATTGTGAAAAATTCTAGTAACCATCCTTGCCGCGTTGGGGATATGCACACTTGCGTTCTTTACGCTACTATGGAACTAACATATCATAATATATTATAGCGTTTTAGCATAACTGGAATGTATATTAATAAAAATCATACACAGAAATATGTATGTTATAGTTACAAAGTTTATAGTCAATAGAAAAACGTTTACAGCGTATTGTAATATTACAAAGTGTTTCGGAGAAGGTATATATACAAGGTGTTTCGGGTAAATAGTTTCATTAGAATTTTAGTTAATAAATTTGTTTTATAAAGATGTGACATTTACGCAGTTTTGTTGATGTAGCACCCACTAAATAATTGAAAAACAAGTTAAATACAATAGCATCATGAAGTAATTAAACCAACCTTAAAATTTTCATACAAGTATATTTAATAAATTATTTTTTGACTACCGAATGAATATCAAAAAAAGAAAACTGTAGGCCATGTATTCCGATTCTGTTTCCCATTTGAAGTTACATTTAAAAATGCCAACGTGAAGGGCGTCGCGTGACTGAGCGAGTGTCGCACGCAGGATTTAACTTAATCCCAAAACAATAAGAGAGGAACAAACAGCCCAATTCTACTATACTTAGCCCTTGAGACCCATACCGGTGCCCGTTTAAAACAAACAAATTATATGTTAGTCTTTTTTATACAACAAATTAAGTCTTAGAGGAATTGTATTCTTGTGTCTTAAGAAATGGGAATTTTATTCGAAACTAATAGTAATAAAAAAAATTGAGCTAAGTTATGAGTGATAGTAGTTATAAAACTTTTTATATTAGGTACATATTTTTACAATTAACCTTTATTAAATGAATTTTCTTAATATTCAATACAATAAAAACAAAAGTACTTATTTTTTTCCTACTTATTTAAATGCTTCAGAATTTTATGTTGTATTAAATAAGGTGTTGCTTATGTATATATGATTTATTAATCTGATTTAGCAATATAAGAGAATTTGTAAACAGTACATAAAATAATCTTCGTTACTGTGAATCATAGTCACCTCTTTTTTCCCATTTTTACAAAAGAAGTATTTCAAAATGAGGTTAATGTACAAAATATATGTGGGTATATAAATAAAATTGGAATGAAATCTGTGCGAGGCTTCGTGCACTTTATCTCCCGGTCCACTCGCCCAACACGTTTGGGGGTTTTACGTGGCATTAGAAACCAATTACAATGGTAATACTTGCCGTCCGCGGACCTCCTGTTTTAAGATAAAGCGGACGGCGAAAATTCGATGAAAAGATTTTTAGCGAATCTCTTTTATATTTCCTTTTCAGTGTTCCGACAATATTCACAACAAACAGATGAAGTATACCATATACTCTATGCCTATAATACAGTATTTTCTACACAATGTCAATTATACAAATGCTTCAAGAGTGGATCACAATGTTGTAAAATTCTTGAAATAATGTATCTTTATATAATTTTTGATTAAAATAATTTGAAGGTTCTTTGAAAATTATTTAATTTAGTTTTTATTAGACTCATTCTTGAAATTTTAGTTAACTGTGTATTTCTCAATATATTCAATATTCAGACAAATGAATGCAAACGACCTAAGAAATTGTCTTATTATATTAAACACCAAGTGATAAAAGGTATAAATGGGGTGGAATCTAATAAATTCTGACCGCGGAAGCGTAAACGACGTACGAGACGAGCACGTAGCTACGTCGTAGCTCGTAGGCTACAGTCTAAGAGTTAAGGTTTTTTATTTTTGCTCTAATGAAATATTTTTTAAACATAACTTATAGACATGA